CCCCCAGCTTTGGAAGAGGTGCCCCTTAGAATCTTGTGGTCAGTGGATGCTCTGGGTGCTGCCCCGTCCCCCGGCTTTGGAAGAGGTGCCCCTTAGAATCTTGTGGTCAGTGGGTGCTCTGGGTGCTGCCCCGCCCCCCGGCTTTGGAAGAGGTGCCCCTTAGAATCTTGTGATCAGTGGGTGCTCTGGGTGCTGCCCCGCTCCCCAGCTTTGGAAGAGGTGCCCCTTAGAATCTTGTGGTCAGTGGGTGCTCTGGTTGCTGCCCCACCCCCCGGCTTTGGAAGAGGTGCCCCTTAAAATCTTGTGGTCAGTGGGTGCTCTGGGTGCTGCCCCGCCCCCCGGCTTTGGAAGAGGTGCCCCTTAGAATCTTGTGGTCAGTGGGTGCTCTGTGGGTGCTGCCCACCCCCCAGCTTTGGAAGAGGTCCTGCTTGGAATCTTGTGGCTGAGGGGAGGGCTGCAATAAAACTGGTGGTCTGTGCTCAAGGATGTCGTCTTATGCTGGTGTGTTGGTCACCCAGTGGGTCCGAGTGGGTCGGGGAAGAGCTGACATAGTTCAGGAGCCGCTGTGTGCTCTGCATCTGGGGTGAAGCAGGCAGAGGGCTGCAGGTGGCATTGAACTGTAGTGATTGATTGTGACAGGAAGACAAAGAACTTCTTGGATCGTTTTTGCTTAGAAATGGGTTCTGTTGAGACAGTAGATCAAGATGAGAGCATGTATTTATACATCTTTCCACATGTCAGAGTTATAGGTGGTGTTTTACCAAATTGTGGGCCAGGTCAGTGGTTTAAAAAGGAATTGTGGGAAGGCGTCCTCTAAGACTGAGCTAACAGGGTGACATAGCGCTTTTCTTTCCTTCCTTCTTTTTCTTCCTTTTCTTTCTTTTCTCTCTTTCTTTCTTTCTTGACAGTGTCTCACTCTGTCACCCTGGGTAGAATGCATTGGCATTCTTATAGCTCACTGCAGCCTACCTCAAATTCTTGGGTTCAAGCAATACTCCTGCCTCAGCCTCCATGATGCCCAGCTAGTTTTTCTGCTTTTAGTAGAGATAGGGTCTTGCTTTTGCTCAGGCTGGTCTCAAACTCCTGAGCTCACACAATCCACCTCCCTTGGCCTCCCTGAGTGCTGGCATTACAGGGCTGAGCCAACACAGCTCTTGAAACTGTGAACGTACGAGATGCCACACTTTGGATAAAAGTGTCATGAAGAGCAGAGCAGCAGGAGGCGGGAGCGCCCGTTGGCTGTCGTTTAGGGGTGTGTGGTGCTTTTTGTTTCTTTTAGTATGGAGGATGTTTGGCTGCACGGGTTGCCGTAAGGCTGAAGTGAGAACAAGTGTGATGTGCAGGAGAAGCACGAGCCAGTTTTGGGAAATCCTCAGCAGGAGTCATGGTGACAGCCTTTTGTGTTGGCAAAGCTCTGTGCATTCTGCACGTCTTGGCTCTGCTGTGGACGTGTGGACCCTGCAGAGAGATGCAGTACAGGGGGCTGGAGGGCACAGAGAAAGGTGGAGCTCAGTCCCCGTGGGTGGTGACAGGCCACATTGGAGAGAAAGCTGCAGGGTGTTGAAACGTGAATTCAGAGCTAGAGAGGGTGTGGCACGGTGATGGGATCTGCTGTGGCCTCTCGGGGACGGAGCAGAGGCACTGGGAGGAGCAGTGTGATGACCATGAGATTCAAGATAAGGCTTGGAGGAGAGCGTGAGGTGGACCACAAAGTTAAAATTAAAGGGCTTGGAGTAAGTGTAAGACTTAGAAGGACCAGAGGGCAAGAGACTTAAGTTACATACTTTCCATTGAAATATCGTGGGAAATCTTTCTGGAAGGGATCCTTTTATATCAACTAAAGTAATGGAGTCTGTAGTGAGCAAAGTCCTTGAACTACTATAAAAAGGTCATAGTTAATTGTCTGGAGGAATAAAAGATAGCATCACTTTCCAGATAAATTACGACTGTAATTTATGTAATTTATGTAATTTACAACCTACATTTACTGTCCATTTTGGCAAGGCCTGAGCCACCATGAGAGGTGCCCTCCCCAGTGGGTGAGTGTGATCTCTCTCTCTGTCTGTCTTTTATTACTCATCTTTCTTTCTGCAATTTAAGAACAAGAGTGCATCATCACTATAAATATTAACAAGTACAGGGGTGTTCACCTAGACAGGTGGGCCCAGGGCATTTGAGAGGATGACTGTGTCCCAGCAGCGGGAACAGTGCCAGAAACACTCAGTAATAAAGACTGAGCTGGTCAGTGCTGCCGACACTGCAGGTGTATCCGCTGTTGCCACAGAACACTGTTGCTTTCTGTGGCATTTGGGGACTTGTTTAAGTACAGCATGTAGGATAAACAAGGCAACCCACTCTTTCTACCCCCCAGGTTTCCTCCTGGGGGGACACTGCATTATTTCATATACTGGGTTTCTGAAGTAAGACAGTTACTTGTTAGGGAGAAACAGGTGTTAAGGACCAAATTGTTCAATGGTCATAAGGAAACTATTGTAAATTTACATGTTTTAGTTAGTTTTTTCTGTTGGTCAGTAAGGTATGCAGTAATATGCCTTTGACATATTTGGTGTGAACCATCCAATTTGACACGAAGGTTCTCTTAGAAATCACCTCATATTCTCTGCTGCTCATGATGAATTCATAGCTGATTATCTATTTAACAGTCAGAGTTGTTGTGCCCCGATGTAGAAAAACATTTAACCCTGTGATTAAGCCACAGGACTTTTGTTCCAAGATGACAATTAAATTCTTACAGGGAAATTCACTTAATGAAACGCCTGCCCAGCTGTCAGGAGGGTCTGTGGTTGCTGTTGCTCTTTGGTGGTTGATGTCGACCGACATTTACAGACAAGATCCCCAGTATGCCAGGCAGAGCCTCATGTCATACTTCTAACTTCTGGGAAAAATCCCGAACAACACACATAGAAACAGTGACTGAGGAGGGTCATCTTTGGTTCTTCCCTGGCTCTCAGCTCTATGTGATTTCTGTCGATATGTCCAGTTTCTAAGATACACCTGACTCTGTCTGGTCCTTTTCAGGTTTGCTGCTATGGTTTGGTCTAGAGAATCTCCATCTCTTGCTTAGACGCTTGCATAGCCTCTGCCTTTCAAGTTTCTCTCCACATAGAGCCAGGAGTGGCGGCCACAGCTACTTGAAGCTGACTGGGAGGGTTGCCAGAGCCCAGGAGTTCATGGCTGTGGTGCGTTATGCTGCTGTGGTCATCACAAAGTGTTAGTTGGGTCATGTCCACCCTCTGCTGCACACGCCTCTGTCATGAGAATAAAACCTCCCGTGGGCATCGAGGGCCACTGTGGCTTTCCCGTCCTGTGTGGAGACATCCTTTGCGTGCGATCTTTACATCAGCCACACTGATGTGTAGGTCCTTGATGCAGAAGCCTTTTCTACCTCAGGGCCTTTGCATATATAAGCTTGTCTTCCCGGGATGGTCAACTCATTCTTGTCCTGGTTTAGTTTTTCTCTTTCTTTTTTTTTTTTTTTTGAGACAGTGTCTTACTTGTCACCCTTGGTAGAGTGCTGTGGCGTCATAGCTCACAGCAACCTCAAACTCTTGGGCTCAAGAGATTCTCTTGCCTCAGCCTCCCAAGTAGCTGGGACTACAGGGGCCCACCACAATGTCCGGTTGTATTTTTTTTGTTGCACTTGTCAATTGTTGTTTAGCTGGTCCAGGCTGAGTTCAAACCCCGACCCTTGGTGCATGTGGCCAGTGCCGTAACCACTGTGCCACAGGTGCCAAGCCTCCTTTTTCTCTTTATATTTTGGCCTTACATTTTTTCCTCTTTAGAGAGGGCTTTCCTTACCACTTTATCTAATGCAGGCTCCTGTCCGTCACTCCCTCAGCTCCTTCTTTGTATCCCTAATAACACGTGTTCAGCTTGCGATTCTGTGAGCCAGCACTTCTGTCATGAGCTGATGCTAGATTATAAGCTCCGGGCAAGCAAGAGTCAGGTCAGTTTGTTCACTGTGTCATCTCTGTCACCTTGCTTAGTGTGTGTTTATGGAAGAATAATTAAAAGAATGGGCCGCTGCCGAGGAAGATACAAGCTTTGGTTGCACTTCTCTAAATATTTCCTACATTCTCGACGAGGAGGCTGCTGATTTCTTGTTTTAAGCCTCGCACATCATTTTTACATTTCCCTGCTTTGCCTTTCTCATTCCCTGTAAAGTCTGGTCTGCAGGTTTCATGACCCCTCCGTGGGAAGTGCCTCATTACTTTGTCCATAGCCAAAGTGGCGTTTTGCTCTGGGTGGA